TGAAGGCTGATTATCAAAGACTTATCATTGCCTGATAACCAACAGCTAAATGACGTACCCCAGATTCAGATCTGGCTACTGTTTGTCGTCGAGTTCGCGAAAAAAAAAATCGTCGCAATTCTACAAGGATATGATTATCTATCATAGCTTTCTCCGATTGAACAATAGTTGAAAATCATTTATTTAGCAACATTCCTCTACCTATATAGATATAGACGTATTTTTAATTGGCGTTCTAGTAATACGTGTTACATTTCGATCGGCTATTATTATAATCTTCTTATCTCGAAGTATTATCTAAATGGTTAATCGAGTGTGTCGATGTTATCCCTTTCTGGGATCGAATTTTTTTAATTCGTTTAAGTGTATGAACGTTGCAAGGACTTTCCGCGATCTTCAAGATCGTTTCTTATCGCGTCGAATGAATCACAAAAGCGACGAGAGTTATAAATATTCAGGTGAGGCGTCACATGGGAATTGTCGCGACGAAAATTACATTTTCTCTTGAACGATGGCAGAAAATCGACGACGATACGAATCGTTGTAACGATCGTGTAACGGGCTGACCCATGAGCTCGTTCTTTTTTATCTGGTCAAGTTTAATTGGCTGATACGTCGATTTCCCTGAAATCTCAATATAACGCTCGACATTCATCCAAAGGGAATGCACGAGCATCAGATGCCGATTTCTCCGAAAGGGAGAGCTCTCCGTAAAGCGATATGCATACCGAATACGTTCGTCAGGATTTCTAACTTCTTCTCCACGGTGCTCTTCTTGGAAGGGCGACACAAAAATGTGAATGTACCGTAGCCCTTCTCAAATGTGCACAGCGTATTCTTTTTTCCTTCTTTCTCCTCTCTCCGCTTTCTTTTTTGTTTTAACACTTCTAGAAAATTTCGCATCTTTTACTTTTATAGTTACTGAAAACAATTTACTTCGTAGTAGGAGATACAAACACAAACAAATATAGCTTATTCATTTTATATACGTATGATTTATTAGAATATTTGTTTAACGTTTTCGTACATTTCATTGTTCGAAGTTTGAACTACATAGAGAGAATATTTAATGCTCATTTTCTTCTTAATTTGTTTAGCGTTTTCCAATTACATCACACTATTGTTAAGTTGCTAGAAAGATATGCGTATGATTAAACTATATCAGGCTATAATAGGTTAGATAGGAATTATATCAGTATCAAAGATGTTGACGCATAAAAGCGATTAAAAATGATAACAAATTAAATATTACCGTGTAAAAATATCGCCAGTGAACATGATTTCTTTTAATAGAACCGTTAAGGTTATGGAAAATTATCAGTCATAGAGGTTTCTTTGGAATTTTCACACATTCATTCTATTATAAGATAATGTAGAAATAATTAATGGGAATTAAGTGTTTTTTAACTTATGTATTTCGAGAATAGATTAGTGTTATTTTATTGATTAACCTGGTTGCGGGAAGAAAGATAACTATGACAAAGAAATAGAACGTTTTCATTGTCTGTAAAAAGTGGCATAGAGATAGTAACATAGGTCTAATCGATACACGGCATCGTTTTACCGAACGACTGCTAGCGGTGATCAATAGTTAGTTTCGTGTTGCACAACATAATTGATAACAATTCTCTTCAATGAGTGTCAAAAGATCGCGATAACGTTTCAATGGGTTAACACTGTCAAGATTTTATTACTTACGTTTTTGCATTTATGCCGAAAATATTTCTGGTATACGTTATACAATTAAAATTCTTTCTTTTCCTTTACTGGGGGAGGGGGGGGGGAATATCAAGAAACTGATCAATTACTTGTTCATAGTCTTACGTACGAACTGTATAACATTCAACTCACAGATTCAGCGAAACTTTTATCTTACTGTTATTAAAGAAAAATCGTTTGTAGAAACGTACGTTTCTTATTTTTACATCAGAGAATACTCTATTCTGATCGCCCAATTCTCAAACTTAAATTTCGCGGGCTTTCCTTTTGATACGAAAACGCCAGAGAGAAAGAGCATCCTCCGTATGCGTTTCGCGCGAAGAGATAGGATTGCTGGAAAGTTAAGAGCTTTTGCTCGGTCCGCGCAGACACCTTCGTTCGCTGAACGGGGCATCGAGTTATCGGTATGTACACCACGATAATGGCATCGCATTCCATTCATATCAGCATCGCTCGTTCGCCACCGCAGCCTACCCGCTCTCTTGCCTCCCACTCCCTTCCCTTCTTCCCTGGCGGTGGGACGTTCGTATGCGCAGGCTCGTTCCATCGCGCCAGGCGCATCGTCGCGTCGCAAACCAAGACGCGACCCGAACACGCGCTCGATGTGAACGCACCTTTACGCGGCCGATCGTCATGCTGGCTTCACCTGGTGCGCATTCCTTCTGCAACTGTTGGAAAACGGCTCCCCGAGGAAACTTATCTCGAGAGAGAGAGAGAGAGAGAGAGCGAGCAGCTTGTTCGCGATCACGCCGATTCCACCGGCAGTGGGGGCTTTTTTCTATTTTATAATTAGATTTTTAGGCCTCGGTGACGCGACTGACGTGTATGCAGGTTATGATCGTCGGCGGACGGTTTTAGCGGCAATAAGATTTGAAAATACTCCAGTCACGCAGGTTTTGTGATAAAGATCAATGACGAAAAGGTTAGAAATATCGTGAAAATTAATGTCGTCTTTCAGGAAGAGGAAAACTTGAGAAATTTGTTCATTATTATCGAAGTTTTCGTTTAAAGTTTTCTTAATGTAGAATTTAGAACGATATTCCGCGTATTTAAGACAGTTTAGGTGTTTAGAAGAATGTGTTTAACGGTCGAATCAAAGAGCTGTGATATTCTTCTTAGTTCTGTGATTCTTTCCGAGAAGTAGAATCTTTCCTGTTAGGAGATAATTCTTAAGAGTAATTCGTTGTTTATTTTTTTATGTGCTCAAGGAATCGAAAGATGTCAAGTTATCGTTATTTATCGCATTTCTTGTTTTATTACATACTTTAACAAGTTATCTATTTTCACATCGTGCAAATTGCAAGCAAAAAATTTTGCTTTGCTCCATCGTTGTAGACAGTTTCGAATTTTGCGGTAATTTGAATGACAGTTTAATCTAGAAAAATTGTCTCGACGGGGAAAAAATCTTTATACAGTCAACATAATTATCTCTGTTGTTTCTTCGCTCGAACACGAGGGCTTTTGAATGTGAAGTATCTGTATGCTCGTAACATCTAAATATACGTTCACCGTTTGGTGTATCGAGACGATAAATAGCAAACACAAAATATATCCAAACTTTCTCTACGGAGAATTCTTATATCTTACTGATAAGGTAACGGTGCCAGGTGCCGTTGTACAAACGTGCCCGTCCCCCTATACGCTTCTCTGTGATTTATGCGTGTGTACTTATTAAATTATTATTCATAAACTTATCGACACTATTAAATTAATAGTCGTCGCAAACGATATACATAATGTAATACTTATATAATACAAATTATAAATAACATATCTCTCTATTCATAATTATACAATATACAATGATTTGGAAAATGTTAGGAGAATGACCTTGAGAAAATTTCACGCGTAATTAAATTAAATCTTCCTCTCGTGTTTTGAGATTTAAATGATCTATTTATATAACTTCTATCTTTATCGAATCCATCAAGTACATTAGATTAGAGGATATTCCATATAGATTCCTTAAATGTTTTTAATTTTTTGTATTGCCTTAAATACATACATGTTGATGTCACTAAAGCATAGTGGGATTCTTGTGGTGTCTAATTTGGCGGGGCGTTACAATACAACGCAAACCGGAATTATTGTGACGGTATCAATCATTTCGTTATCGTGACATCGAAACAAACACACAAATATGTTTTACATGGCACGGCAGTACGTACGATTTGATTCTGTATAGGTCTCCTCGACGAGCCACTTCGTTTAATCGCGGAAAATCTCACGATTAAATCATAATAATTGATTGTCTGTTCGAGTGTTAATCGTTCTATGAATTAAAACTGGAGATAAGGAAAGGAATTTATCTGTAATTTTTAATTTTTAATTTTTGCCTATTATTATTAAAAGATGAAATTATGGAAGATGGAATTATAGCGTTACGATACAATATTTTAATTTATAGATTACTTGCACACGTACGTGTACATTCATTCAAACAACGTATACATATTTATGAACTCGTTGAGTTTCAACCGTTTCTTTTTAATACTCCGAGAATGCATTGTTAACACTTGTCGTTTTAATTCATTGAGAATAATTATCAAAGAGTAAAAAAAAAAGAAAGCGATGATTCAAAGATCAAAGTTCTTATATGTATATATGTACACACATGCATACTATGTACAAATGAAAAATGGTTTCGAAGTAAGTTATACGTAAATATTGTAAGGCCTAAAAGCATGAAATAAAAGAAGAGGAAGACTTCTCAAGGAACTTATATGATAAAAATTTAATATTTCTAAAAGTATTCAGATTGTCTTACGATTACGTAATTTCACAAGGTTTTGTATTCATTTTTAAATTAGAGATAACTGATTGAATATTTGATATATATATATGTATACATATATAGCGATAATGATGTACGATTTAGTCGTATATCAAAGATATGACTTTGAGCACGTGTGAAGTTGCAGATTGTGGCGACTTCTATTGGTGAGATTGCGTACTGCACGTACAGTGCTGGTCCTATATGAGCTGGTATACAAGTTAATCCCGCGCATAATTCACACATTCCAAAAAAGATTCTTCGACGGAATTTGAAAGTATTTCTTCCGTTTGATGTTTCGAACAATCTCGATATCAACAACGATTTCTGTAATAGAGTGCACAAAGAATGATATAAACGTGGATTTTGTTACGAAATCATTACTTAAAACAATTTCAATAATGTCTTCATTTATTATAATGGAATCATGTGTGTGTGTGTATGTGTATTTGTATCATATCCATGATGATTGTATAACGAACAGAGTTCAACAATTCTTATACGAAAGTAAGTAGGATTGTTTTATTAGCCATTAATGTGAAAACAACTCTTAGCTTTATAACTCATAGTCAATCTAAATATATGCTCGATTATAATTCCATTTGCGTGATTGATAAGAGGGAGACGAAATAGTCACAGGGAAGGAGGAATGAAAGATGACGCATTGAAAGTAAGAAAAGAGGAAATTGACGGAAGGAGAGGAATGCCCGAAAGGGTGTAGCGGGTCACGTGTGTATAGTCGGCCTCTTGCATTAGCCGTGGATCCTCCTTTTTCTTTTTTTCCTTCCCTTCTTCTCTCTTTCTCTCGGGAGCCACGTGCGCCCCAAGAAATTCCTCTTTTGTATCCTTCAGCCTTTGTTCGGCAACAGCTGTCCGGCCGAAGAAATGCTTTTCTCCATCGTCAGTCTGCTTACTGCTGATTCTTTTCCCTCTCTGTTCGCTACCACGTCTAAGTATGAATTAAATTATCGATTCTCTGCCTTCTTTTGTCGATTCGTGCGAGGAAGAGATTAAGAATCACGATTTAACGCGAGTACGTCGACTAACCATTTAAATTATGTCAATATTTTCTTCGTAATCGTTAATTCGTAAATTGTCTGTTTTTAGAGACAGATCATTACTTGTTATTACAAATACGTAATTGTATTTGTTCAAGAAATATTTGAGGAATCCAGTTAAACTCGAAGAGCACAATCTCATAAATATTTTAATTTTAGGTATTTCCAGCCAATCAGCCCCCCAAAAGACTATTTCTTTTTTATCAATTTTCGAGTAACATTTCACAAGCATTAACTCGTTATTATCAAGGCAACAAGAATCAAAAGGAAGACAGAATGAAATTTACTAAATGTTATGAAAATGTGGTTTTTTCAGAAAGAGACAGAGAGAGAGAAGTTGTCACAAATTCCATTTCCTTCCATGGAATGCGGCTCACCATTCCCCTCTACATCATTCCATTCCGACGGCAATGTTTAAAAGTACATCGAATCATGATTCTCTCTACCCCCGTAATTTCCTCATAAATCATCTCGAAAATTCCCGAAGGAAACGGTTCTGCATCCGTGCCCTTAACATTCGCCGGAAGACGTTGCTTTCGAAATTTGCCGCGGTTGCGTATTCAGAAGAAAATGCCACGAATGCGTCCAATTACAAAACACCGCGGGCATTCCTGAACAGATCCGTACGCATAGTGGCCCGACACTGGCTCCGCGCGGCTCTCTGCTATCTATCCCTCTTTCTTCGTTCCTCCTCCGATGGTATGAGCGGCGGAGAGTAGTTGGCGCACTATAAAAGGGGGCCCTTCGCTCGGAGCGGGGCCCCGCGGTTCGGCGTGCAGCGTTCAGATAAATATGCGGGAGGGGCCGGAATTCCTCACTCGGCTGCATTCCAATCGCTCTTCCTCCTCCGCCATCTCACCACTACCACACACACAAACATCTCCCCGTCATCGTTATTTGCAGCCTCCGTCGCACACTACCTCTGTCCCGGCCACGCAGCAACAGAACAACCTAGCGATCCCAGTATGTAATACCAACGAATACCAGTACCACCGGTGACAATAACAATAACCACGCGTGTCCGTAATAACCTTCTGAATACCCTGACAATGAGCGTATATACGAAGGAGTTGAGGTTAGCTTGGATTAGGTTAGGTTAGATGCTTGTTCGTGACTTTTGTAATCTGCTTTGTTTCCTTACGGCTGAAGTGCAGCGATATTTTTGGTAATAAGGATGTTCCGCTATTATTAACAACGGGCATTGTATTTATATCTCACGGTGAATTTGCTTAGGATCTTGCAACGTCGTAGAGCAAAGTTTATTATTTAAATTCGTGAATGAATTTTTATGACGAAGAATAAATTCAAAATTCATATATATATATATATATATATATATACCCGATGCAAAGCAACAGTGCTGACAACAATTTGTCAATTCGCATGCAAGTATGCGTTACTGCTGTTCGTCGTTTATGGACTGTCTTTATTTTCTCCCTTCTGTCATAATTTTTGCGTCCCTTCCTCGTGTACTAAAAACGTAGATTCTTTTCTGGCTTTTACAGCATCTATAAACGCACGTATATGTACTCGAGTACCGACGTAGAACTCACGAGTACGTGCAAACGGTTTCGCAGGAATTATTATTGTAGGTGGTGGATCTTCCATTAAAATGCATATACAGGACCTCTAATACGAAGGCTGACCCTTTTGGCCGAAGATATCGCTCCTTTTGCAGCGCTGGCATTCCTTACCAATATTTCTCGAAGAGGAATTCCTTAATGATACACGAGTGCTGCGTGCTTCGTGCTTGCTGCTTCGTTCTTCGCTCCCTTCTGTTGGTACACGTGCGTGATTTGCGGCCTAGAGTCAGGTCTCGATGGAGAAAGTGTTTATTCGGTTTCCTGTCACACTCGTCTGGCATTTTTTCTCCATCGCTAAAATTGACATATGACAAATCGCGTACAAGGTCACGTTGTACTTTCGAACTATTTTAAAGATGCATAACGCATTGTGTAACATATAGACCACCTGCCTGATCCTGTAAAAGTAATCCAACATGTTCTAGAGCGGCGTTTTTAAATGACATTATAAATCTGATCTTTTTGTTGAATATTTACATTTAGAAACATCAATATTTATACTTGCATATACAGATTGTTCGTGCTACTATTTTCTGGCAATGCAAATTTTTTTCTAAATGGTAGATCTTCGAAATGATAAGAGACCGAGTTTCAAGACCCTTTTCCATACTTAATCCTACTACCGTGGCATCGACTAATTAAAAATATTTTTCATGGATTTTCCGTAATAGCAAAACGTATTCGACGTATCAAAGAAGAAAGTACGACAGAGAGCATTGTAAAGAGCTCTGTTCGCAAATCCAGAAAGTCCGCATAGCATCTTACAACAGTCCTATGTAAATGAACAGGAGGTGACCTCCGCTCGTAAGACGACGTTAACGGAGAATAATGTATCTCTCCGACCCATAATATCCGAATAACGTAACACATGTCAGAGCGAGAGACATTCCAATTGACTTATGGAACGTCTCTAACCGGAATTCGTTCGGAACGAAAGAAGATTCCCGCGTCGCGTCGCGACGGACATGTCCAGCGGAGCGTGGCGTAAAAAGTCAGCTAAAGCGGAAGAGATTTCGGGATGTGCTATGCCGGGAGGACGAAGAGGAAGCGACTCGAGAGATCTTTCGAGGGAGAAAAAGGAATGATAGATACGTAAGGGAGATGCAAGCATCGAGGTAAGAAGAGCTGCGCCTCGTGGAGGTGGAGAACGAGCGATGGAGGAGGAGGAGGTGGAGGTGGAGGAGGGGAAAAATAAGAGGCTCTTTCCGCGAGGCGAGCGAACCGGCTCGTACTCGATAGCATCTGCGGAGCCTCCGACAATAATAGTGTGGACCGAGAAATATGCGCGCGGGGCCCGAGCCCTGTGAATCCTTCGGCGGTTTTGGGGTGGTGAGGTGGTGTACGGAGGCAAAGCTCGCCTGGTGGGGCGAAATTCTCCGATGCGTAGCGATGGGATCGATCCGGTGCTTGTAATTCCCGAACAACTCGTCCTTTTGATTTTTCCCTTGCTCGCCACTCGCGTGTCGCTACTTTCATGAAAAATTGTGAAATTTTCGTAATGCAGAGTGACCATGTTTTATGGAGGCGATATGTTCGTGCAAATTGGTCCCACGAATATAGAATAGAAAAATATGTCCTGAAACGCGAGCTTTCTAATTACTTTACAGGAAGATAGTTCATTCCGTTCTCTTGCGAAGGCTTTTTTTTTTTTTGTAAAAATGCTTGCTTTTGTACAAATACGTAAGTTATCATTTTAGTGGAAACTACACGAGAAAGAAGAAAAATAGCTTGCAAAAAAGCTTGGAATAATTGCCTGGAATTCGTAAAATGTGCGTAATTTGGACGAATGTAAAATTGAATTAATGTTATGAAAGTATAATAGGCATGGATTATCGATCAGCGACGGTAATGAAATAAATCGTTAAGATGTGCAAAGGCAGGAGAATTGGTCCCATCACTACTGGTACGGAACGGGCCTTCTGACGGAGAGGGGACATACACCAAGGTCCACCGGGCCTGTTCTTAGATGATCAGAGACACGGCTGATGGGCCAGTAGTGGCCCCAGAAATTCCAACAAGGACGAGGCATAATGCGCGACTCAAGGTCGGTTCTACTACCGACCAGAGAGTCCGAGATGGGACCACGTTCAGCAGGGTCGTACTGTGACCTCGTCAGGCCTTCCTTCCCCTCCTCTCCCGGTTCTCGGGCCCCTACTCCATCCCTGCTGTCGTCCCTTACAGGCTGGGCTCCGCCAGCGACAGGATCGTGCGCTCGCCCCGCGGCGCCCTGCATATCAGGCCCCTGCATACCACCACGACATTCCACATCGCTGAAAAAAATGTACGTCCTCCGGGGGTCGATGACGAATACTACGGTGAAATTCGAGACGCGACCTCGTCGACGCTTCGTCGTTCGGCTATTCGACGAAACTATTCCGTCGAGTATACTAGTCGTGTACGTGCGCGGAAACGAAATTAACGGTTCTTCTTCGTTGAACGTCGATCGGTGTTTTTCGATCCTCTGTAATGGATATTTTGGAAAATGGAAGTGTGGGAAATATTTGACGAGGAAATATAGGTCAAGAGAATTTCTATCGACGAAAGAATTTTTAGTTTGATGGAACTTTCGAAAGGAAGAGATGGAGGATCATTGAAGATGAGAAGGCCTAGGGAAGGAGCAAAATTTCGACACGCGATATCGTAAATATTCATGGTGCGTGAGCGAACGCAGCACGTGTGTGTACGTTCTAGTATCAATTAGATTCACCAGGAACGAATACCGCATGAAATGCATGGTATCTGAAAGGAAGAGGCAAAGTGGGGGATGCGGAGAACGAAGAAGGTAGAAATTGTTGGGTAGCGAGAAGAAGAAAGAAATAGAGGGAGGATAGGAAAAGCAGATTGGGAGTGGGGGGCGCAAGGGCTCGATTGCGACGGTCCTGCCGGGCCTCATCCTG